AGTCACTTTAAATAAAGAGTTTTTTTACTTTAGTAAAAGAGTCATATGAGTTAGAAGAGAAAAATAGACTAATAAAATTGATTAGTACAAAAATAAGTATCTAAGTTTGTGTCAATTTTGACAAAAATTGTTAAATAATTCTATCAAAAGATAAAAAGAAAGATTGGGAAAATATGTTCAAAGAGATAATTAATTAATAGAAATTATTAACTAAATAAAAAGATATTAATATTTCTATACTTGTAATTATATATTCTAGTATTTTTAATATCCAAGAAAATAAATTACTAAAGAAAATATCATTTATTTAGAATTGTGATGTACAACTATATAATTTAATATTATTTATTTAAAGTTACAGTATATAACTATATAAAAATAATACTATAACAAATTAATATGCTTATTCAAAATTCTTTAATTATCTTTTTCAAATTTAAAGACAAAAATATAATAGTCAAAAATTCAATTCTATACAAATTAATATTCAGTTTCTTGATCTTGCTCAAAATTTATGAAAAGTAACTTGAATTACAAGATTTAAAGTTCAATTAACAAACTATTTCTGCCAAACAACTTGATTTAACAAAAGAAAATATAATGATAAATATTAATTTTATAATAATAAGATAATCATTAACTTATTGTATTAAAGATTAAACTTTATTAATTTGTTTAAAATATAAGAGAGAGTGTGTTAAGATAACACTCTTATTTATAAAAAATTTTTCAATATATTTTAATACTATTATTATTATTACTATTTGATATTTTGATTATACATATATATAAAATATTATGTAATATAATTTAATAATTATTTATATTTTCATTTATATTTTTCTATTTATACTTTTATTTTTAATATTTAATTTATCTAATTTACACATAATTTATCAAAATATTAATTATTTCTTTTTAATATCACATTATTTATTTTATTGTAATATTATTAGATCTAAATTCATTCTATTTTAAATTAATTTCATTTAATATTAATTAATATAGTACTAATGTCACTCTAATTTAAATTGTATTACTTAGATTAAATTAGTATTATATTTATTATTACACTTATTTTAAATTAATCTTATAATTTTTTTTAAATAATATTATTTATTATATAGATTTATATTATATTTATACATATTTAAACAGATATAATTTAACATAGAATAAAATAATTCTTAAGTAATTTAGAAGTAATTCTTAAATGATTTAAAAGTAATTTATAAATAAGTTATAAAGTAATTTAAAAGTAATCAAATAATAAAAGTATAAAGTTAATTGATACTTTTACTTATTATTATCTTTGATTTATTATTTACTTAACTTTAACTTATCCAACTAATAGAAGTATTAGAATTTATATCTTTTTATAATCTCTTTTAATTATCTAGTATTTAACACTTTCAAGTACATATAATTACTATTACATATATCATTTTTATATAATTTTAATTAATTACTATAATTAGTTAATAACTTGACTATTTATATAAAAATGATAATACTATTTATATTGTTATAACATTATAAGAAAGATAGTTTAGTGATATTTAAGAAATATTTATATATAATACTATTCACAATGAGAAGATTATATATTTTTTTATAAAAAATATGCAACTGTTTATTTCATTATTTTATTTTTTTGAGAAAATATTTGATATACTATTGTTACTGTCAACAAATATACTTCTTTGATTATAGTTTTTTGAGAATAATTAACAGAAAATGAGCTGCAAATATCAATAATATTAGATTAATATATATGTAGTATTACTGATTTTCAAAACGGATAAAGTTTATAGCAACAATTATGATGAGTTCCCATTATATTTATTCACAATACTGCAAGTTTTCCAATTCAGTAAGTTATTTAGCAGCTAATTCTTATAACACTATTAACAAATACTGCTGTAGATTATTCAGCAAAACAGCAGCAGATTTTGTCATGAATATTGACAAATACAGTTTGTGGATTTTTCAGCATGATAATATACTAATAAAAAACAACAAACTCCCTTTTTAGTATGCAACACAAAATCATGTAATTCCCTATATTCTCTTTGTTTAGCATTTTCTTATTATTTTTCAGCATCTCATCATTGTTTTTCAGCATCTTATCATTATTTTTCAGTATCTTCTCATCTTTTCATTAATCTTTAACACAGTTCTATCAGTTTTTGAGTTTGTAACAGTTTTTTCTGTAGATAATGGAGCATTTGGCATAAACTCTTTTTTTATTTTATTTTAGTAAAACATTATGCTTTTTTTGATAGTATAAAAATAATTATACACAAAAAAATATATAAAAGAATGGCCCACAGGCTATTAATAAAGAGCAGAAATAAAATTGTGTGCAATTCTTCTCCAAGCAAAAATATAGCTTGAATCTTTGCGTACAACTATTCTTAAAAGTGAAATATTACTTGTAAAACTCTTCCTCTTTCCCTCAAACTAATCTTGATATCGTATTATTTGTTGGTTAGGTCCTTTGCACCAGAAAAGGCATTGTTTTTTGTAGATTCGCATTGTTAATGAAAAGCCGTTTCGTGTAATCATTACTATCATTATTATTATTTTTATTTTTAAGAGTTTAAGGCTTTTGTCTAGAAAAAGCAACGATTGTTAATAATATTTTTAAGAGTTTAAGGCTTTTATCTAGAGAAAGCAATAGTCAAGAAAATCTCCGAACACTCACCTGAAACACATAGTCTCTCCCTTTCCCCCAAAAATCAACTTAAGTCAACGATATCGGCACAGACTTTAGATACCGAATAAACATCAATCAATCTAATAATCTCTCCCAAAGTCTTGTTGCGTTAGAAATCCCTCAAATCGCCCCCAATTTAAAATAAGCGCAACACTGTTTACGACGCGACCTAACTTTTACAACCTTGGCCTTTCATTTCTTGTTTGGTTTAGCTTGGTAAGCGTTTGGGTATATAAAATGCTTTAGATAGGTTATTTAATTGCTTTAACTGCTTTTTAACCATTATTACTTACCTCTTATGCTCATTTTGGCATTTCTAGATGCACCATTCGCCAAAATTGAATTCGCTTTTAGATGGATTTCATGGCGAAGAATGTGATCCATGACTTGCTGAAAGAACGAAATCTCTCTGAGCAGTTTCACGTATAAATTATAATATTCAAATTCGTCTTTGTCATCTGCCGTGGATTGCTCTTTTTGGTTTATATCGGTGCTGAAAAACTAGGTGCTCAAGTACAGTGAGTCATCAAAAGGTCCGGCCAGAATTATTTTGCATTTTGTGGTAGCTATTTTTTTTTTTTAGTTTTAGATACTCAAAATAGAAAAGGATCCTACCCTACACAAGTTTTTCCCGTGTGGTGATGGTATTTGTCAAGAGGACAATGCACCACCACATAGGTCAAAGGTTGCAACGCCGCTCGCGAGCTTTTGGAATCAAGATGTTACTTTGGCCTCCACAAAGTCCCATAGAAGATTTACAGCATGAAGTGAAAGACAATGATCCTCTATTCTCACAGAACTCGAACAATACGTGAAAGTAGCTTGGAAGGATCATACTATCGAAAGCTTATTTATAATGTGCCGGTCGAATTTCCACAGTTATTGCTTGCAAATGGACATCATACAAAGCATTAATATTGGTAAAACTTAGAAGTTAATATTTAAACTTTATTTGTTGCAATCCTGTTCTTGAGTTAATTTAATGGTTTGTAAGTGGCCTGATCTTTATAATAACCCACTGTATCTTGGCACGTTGGGCTCTAGCAGAAAAATTGAAAATGACAACCTCGATCCATGTATTATTTATATATCTCTCGGATTTATGAACTTCGACTGGGTCTCGTCGATAAAGCATTGTCATCAGACTGAATCCTTGCCCTGAGAATTGCATAAACTGCTTCGATGAATGGGAGAACCTTTAGCGATAGAAATAGTCCCTACGATGTTTACGATGTTATCAAAAAAAAACAAACGATTTGAACTGTCGCTGAAGAGGTAGTGTGAATATAATAAGCTGACTTCCAGCCAGAGAAGAAAGCAAACAAAGACGGTGAAAGTTTACATAGCAGGATACTGCTGTTGTGCAACGGATCCAACCTTCGAGCTAGGGAAGCGATTTGATTCAACCTGGGTAATCTACCTAAACCAGTTTCCATGTACAGTCAATTCTTACTAAATGCAGTTCGCTGGGATTAATCAGACATATATATTTTTTTAAGCGCTTACAAGACTGAGAGTATACATAATGCGTGCATTATAGATGTTGCATAATAAGTTAATGTAATACATAATGAAAAGTCGTATAACGGGTAATTAGAGAAAATCGGTTATATCAAGACTTTATTAATAAGTCCATCGAATAAGATTTATTATATACTGTTTATTTCATACTACATGTACATGAACATGATGATCTCGAAGCCACATACGTAATTCATGCCTGACACTCTAAAGGTGAAAAAATGACGTTATAATTATTTAAAAAAAAATGACGTTGTAATTATTTAAAAAAATGACGTTATAATTATTTTATTATTATTCTTAACCCAAAAAGTGTATTGTACCAAGGTAATTAAAATGTTATAAAAAGAGCGGATGAATATTATATTACGTCGAAAAACTGGCAAAATGAAGGCAAGTAAGTTAACTAACAAAAACATCTCTTCTTTCCTCGCCCCACGCTTTCCTCGCCCTACGCTTTCCTCGCCCCACGCTTTCCTCGCAACACGCTTTCCTCGCCCCACGCTTTCCTCGCCCCACGTTTTCCTCGCTCTTTTCACTCTTCAAGATATGAAGGTTAACCAAGAACATAAGTTAGTTCGCAAAACATTCAATATTATTGTTTTTTGTTTTTTCTCTACACTTCTCACTTTACACGCTTCTCGTTTTATCCACTTCTCACTTTGTGCACTTTTCACTTCTCACTTATGCACTTGCTTTACTTCACGCTCGCCTCGCTCTACTCTTCTTGCCCGAGCAGATAATACGATAATAATTCACAATGCCGAGGCGGCAAACAAATCCGAATTCCAACCCGCCAAACCAAACAGCCCCTCGAGCTACTGTGCAATTGGTAATGTCACAATTGCTAGTTATGCAGGCTAACCAAGATCAACATAATCAAGACGTCCAACAACAATTATTAATCGGACAGGCTAATCAAGATGAAACACACCATCAATTACAAGAAATGCAACGACAACAACGTCATGTAGTTCGCTTGCTCCACCTTTTAGAAGAGTATGAAAAGGATGGGAGATACGATCCAATAAGATATAGTGGGATTCTTTTCACTCTTCATCAAGATACGGAGGTAGGTTAGTTCGCACAATATTATTTTGTTTGTTTTTTTTGCACTTCTCGTTTTATGCACTTCTCACTTTCTCACTTTATGCACTTGCTTTACTTCACGCTCGCCTCGCTCTTGCTCTTCTTGTCCGATTAGACAACGTTAAAACGATAATTATTCACAATGTCGCCCAAAGGCGGCAAACAAATCCGAACTCCAACCGCCAAACTAAACAACCCCTCGAGCTACTGTGCAATTGGTAATGTCACAATTGCTAGTTATGCAGGCTAACCAAGATCAACATAATCAAGACGTCCAACAACAATTATTAATCGGACAGGCTAATCAAGATGAAACACACCATCAATTACAAGAAATGCAACGACAACAACGTCATGTAGTTCGCTTGCTCCACCTTTTAGAAGAGTATGAAAAGGATGGGAGATACGATCCAATAAGATATAGTGGGATTCTTTTCACTCTTCATCAAGATACGGAGGTAGGTTAGTTCGCACAATATTATTTTGTTTGTTTTTTTCTGGCTTTTTATGCACTTCTCGTTTTATGCACTTCTCACTTTCTCACTTTATGCACTTGCTTTACTTCACGCTCATGTCGCGCTTCATCTTGATTGGCCTGCAGGTTGAGGAGGTTCGGATTTGTTTGCCGCCTTTGGGTGGCATTGTGAATAATTATCGTTTTAACGTTGTCTAATCGGACAAGAAGAGTAAGAGCGAGGCCAGTTACAAGAAATTCAACGACAGCAACGTCATGTAGTTCGCTTGCTCCATCTTTTAGAAGAGTATGAAAAGGATGGGAGATACGATCCAATAAGACAGACATATAGCGGGATTTATATTGGGCATATTAATTTCGTTACTTATGAACTATATAATACTAATAACGCAGCACACTATTGCGCGTGTTCGTAATTTATCTAATTGGTATTCGCAAAGTAAATTTTAAGTCGTGAAGCATAGCATATAACGATAAATGAATAATTTAGGTTTCTTATTTTTTTCATCAACTCATATTCAATATATTTGATGTAATTATTGTAGCCTAAGATTAATTTCGCTTTATCTTATTTCCGGGTGAAGGAGGAATTGAACTTGTTGACTCTAAACGATGTTTTCGGGTGAATATATTGGTGAATTATAATTTTCTTATCATTGTTCATTCTTTTAATAGATAGAACAGTTTATGATATTCAAATGAATGACAACGAGTGCGTACATTTATTACACTTATTGCATAATCCCGATAAAAAACGCATTCACTACAATTCGAAATTTTAGAATTCAAAGCGTATTTATGTAGTGTAAAACTATAATAAATTACTATTGATAACGAGCATATTGACGTTGATAAAATAAAATAAAAATATATGTAAAAGAAGTTCGAAACAGTTAATATCGATTCCATGATTACCGTCAGGATTTCTAATGTTTAAAATTTTTATTATCCTTGATTTAATTTAAGAATCTTAAAGTAACAAAACGCAGTATTTTCTTTTGATATTTCCATATTTTGTTGGAGGTGATTCGTTATGGATTTGTAGATTTGATTTCATCTTAAATCTGTAGTTTTTCTTGCAAGTTACTCGACATCTCTTCGTTCTCTTTGATTTCGTGTGGTATATACTCAAATCGTAATCGCTTGGAACAAACAAGCTGAAACTTGTCAACTCTAAACATTCGATGTAATTTTTAATTAACGTGAAACGACAATATCGATATGATTATATTTAAAAATAGAAAGTACCTGTGTTAGTCGGAATTGAAATTAATTTTGGAGTAAATATTCGACTGGTATAAACTGCATTTGGGTGTATTTGTTGTTTTTTGTAGGAACACTTTTTTGCCATCTTATTTCATCAAATTTCTGCTTTTCTAGTTTGAGGCACTCGGTAATTTCTTAATTTTTCTTAGGATATTCTAAAGAGCTATAATACTTAAAATGCAAAGTATTCGGTTTCTTATATCTGATAAAGTAAAAAAAGTTCACCAGTAGTTGGTCTGTTTCTGGGATAGGATCCCAACATTTTTCAATAAGAAATTTGAACCATCCAGGACATTACTTTGTATCGTAAGTCGTACTCCTTTATATATGTCTAATACGAGATTTTTATCATAGCTTCGTTCACCTGTGACAATTTCGTACATAATCATCCCCAAACTATAAATATCTGCAGCTTTAGTGTATGATTTTCCATTAATACCTCCGGACTCATATAAGGAAGAACCCGTAAATCTCTTGATGGGATTTTCTATCTGCTGGATCCGCAAGTCCAAAGTTGGTAATGAAAGCATCAACATATAGTAATATATTTGCAGGATGAAAGTCCCAATGCACAAGTTCTTTTTTGTCAATTGTTTCCAGACAATCGATAATACAAGCTAAATAACGTAACTTTTCTTCCCAAGTTAATTCTTTGTAGTTGGAAGTAATACGCTTGTGTAAATTGATTTCTATATTGATATGACTATAATCATCCCGAAGCGTATACTGTTCTCATTAATTCAGAAATTGTTATAATTAATGAATTAATGCAGTAACATAACAGTGAAAGAACAAAAACTGAATAATTTACAATTAAAGGGGTACACTAAAGGTTCTAAAGGTTTCCTGTGATAGCTTGTATGCAAACTAACTTACTATCAAAAATAAATATATTGACAAAGAGGAGAATTAAAGAAAAGGATATAATAAATTAAAATAAAGTAGAATAACTATTAAAGAAAATAACAGGACTTATTGGGATTGCCTAACAAAATAAAAAATTAATTGAACTTATTGAGACTGTCAAATAAGAAAATAAAATAATAGAACTTATAGAGACTGTCTAAAAGTAATAAAACTAAAATAATAAAGTCAATGACTTATTCAGAATGGAGGAGCATTCACTATTTGGAGTCCAGATTTGAAGATAATCAAAAAAATAATAGTGTATTTACAAGTATAATAACACAAATAAGAACTTTATTATTTTTATTAGATCAGAGCAGGAGAGTTTCTAGTGTTAAGAGACTCTTCTTTTATACATTTTCAATAGTTACTTTGATTTACATGATTAATAATAATTCTAAATTATATCACTATTTACAGACAATACTAAATAATATTAAAAGAGAAAAAGATCAAAAATCAAATGAGAAATTATACAAGAGAAAAGAAAATACAAGATAAAATTAATATGAATTTGATTGGTTAAAGATAAGAGAAATTATAAGAGCATAGTAAAAAGAAAAATTCTAAAGAAAAATTGAATAATATGAGATAAATCATAAGGGATGACAATATTAAAGATAAAGATAAAAATAGTAATGAGTATAAAGATACAAATGAGAAATAAAATATAATTGGTTAAAGATAATGAAATTTGAATTGAAAATATTTTTGTTGGGGATAAGATATACCAATAACAATAAGAGAAGAAAATACAAAAGTAAAGAATATAAAAAAAATGTAATTCATTGATAATTACGTAATTTAATTATCAATCAAAAGGGAAGTGATATTCATGAAAATATGATTGTGTAATGTCAAATTTGACTGTGTACATGTACATGTAATATCAAATAAATACAAAACTTGCTTCAAAAAGTACATGTACATGTATAAAATAAATATGAATATCATTAGACAAAATTATGATACACCATAATTTATGATATCATAAAAATTATTGAATTACGAAATTTTTGTTGAAAATGGTAACAATACTCATATTTTGGATAACCAATTATGATTGAGTATTCATTCGTAGCTGGATTTTTAGTTATTCCATAACTTATTGGAAAGTAAAGATCACTGAACTTTAGAGAGTCCGAATCTATTTTTGAAAAGCTAAGTTTATTTGAAAACAAAAAAAGCAACATGCATAAATTGTTCTCTTATGATTTGTTTTGAATTATGTAATCTCAATACAACTTCGCGTTTATCTTCATCAACTAGTTTAAATATATTTTCTTTGTGATCCTACTCATATCTGCGAAAAGATGCTTTATAATTGTAAGGTATTCAACATTGGTAAATTTTTCGAAAGGGATCCACGCGAAATATGGATTAACGTTAGTATTCTTTTATTAGACAGACCATTTAGTTTTATAAAGTTGATAGTGAAAATCGAAACATTCACTGCAGCGATCGTTTTTTTTGACAACGAGTGCATTTACTACAATCATGAATTGATTTCTCTTCATTTTTATTAATTTTATCTAAAATATGTTCTGAACCATCAAGAAAAAATAATAATGAATTAAAGAGGTTAATAAGAAGGAATATCAAATACGCAGCGATTTTACCTTCATTTACTTCGTTTGACATACCGATACAAACTGTTTGTTGATTCGACATCGACATCTATACGTATTTAGTTAATATCGATACTGATACTGTATTTTTTGAAAAATAAATATTTACCTTCGTTTGGAACATACAAACTGACACTTATAATAATTAATATGAAATGTCAAATGTGATTTATATTTAGAAATAAAAATACCACCTGTGTTATTCGGAATGGATATTGATTTTGAAGTAAACATTCGACTGGTGTAAACTGTGTTTGAGTGGATTTGTTGTTTTTTCTTCATATTCGTAGGAATACTCTTTTTTAATTTCATCTTTTTATCAAGCACTTTCCATTTCTGTCTTTCTAGTTTAACACACTCAATAATTTCTTCATGTGTTTTAGGAGATTCTAAAGAGCTGTAGCACTGAAATGAAAAGTATTCGGTTCTATATCCACGTTTGATAGATTCGATAAAGTCTTCAAGTTCCTTAGCAGTTGGTCTGTTTCCTGGAAGAGGATCCCAACATCTTTCAATAATAAACTTGAATACTTGAGGAACATTATTTGGTATCGTAGGTCGTACTCCGTTATAGATGTCTAATACGAGATTTATACCATGACTCTGTTCACCAAATGGTTGTTCACCTGTGGCAATCTCGTACGTGATCATCCCGAAACTATAAACATCTGCAGCTTTCGTGTATGGTTTTCCATTTAGTACCTCTGGACTCATATAAGGAAGTACTCCGCGAATTACTTTAATAACGTTAGATTTTTCTATATCTGCTGGGCCGGTAAGTCCAAAATCAGCAATTTGAGGATCAGTCTTTATTAATATATTTTCTTTTTGTGAATTTTATTCAACCCTGTAATGATATAAAATAAATGTTCAATTTTTGGTGGTTAGAATTCGTATATTTGCGTAGCTCGCCACTTTTTGCATAATCCATCACTATCAAGTATTCATTCGTAGCTGGGTTTATAGTTACTCCATAATATTCGATATTCGTTTGCACTTTAGAGCAGTCTGAATCTAATTTTGAAAAAGTTAATTAGATTGAAAAACAAAAGTAATATGATTACATTTAAAAGGTGTTCATTTTACCTCGTTTATAAACTCGGATGTAATTTGCTGTGAATTGTGTAATCATTTCAACACACCTTCTTGTTCTCCCCATCGCATAAATCTATTATTTACATGATCCCATCTTATTGATAAATCTTTCAAAACGAATTCATTCGAATATATTATCCTTGCATTCATTTATTAGACTGTCGATATCTTTATTTCCACTAGACCATTCAACATAATTCGTTTGTGATATAGAACACATCTATAACAGTAATTATTTGCTTGACAATCAGTACATTTACTACAATCATGAGTATTGTGGACTGAACACTCATCGCAGGGACCCCATTGTTGACAATCGCGACAGTTATTACTACAATCATGAATATTGTGAACTGAACACGTTTTGCAGTAATCACAGCTTTGACAATACCAGCATGTATTACTAATGAGTATTAGATGCCATCTTTGAGCTTATTAATGATTATGACAGTGTTTATTTAAAATCGATTATTTAAGTTTATTAGTGATTATGACAGTGTTTTATTTTTAAAAAAATGATG